TTAGATTCAAGGCGATGAATTCAATGCAGGATGATCCTTTATAAATTATACTCTACCGACTTTTTTTTCACTAAATTAGAGGTTTTCAATGCTTTAAAACTTAAAGCCATTTCCAACTACTATCAAATTTTGGACACGAATCTTTACACAATTTCTACTTTTTATCCTTTGACAAAATAAATATGTTTTAAGTGGTAAATACTTATTTGAAATCCGTTTTAATTTTTATTGAAGGGATTTTGAGAAAATTAGCCTTTTTTGGTTGTATTCGAGTATTTGTTGGTACCTTTTTGTTCTCAAAAAAAAAAAAAAAGTAGACGGTATTTCAAATTTGAAACCCGTTTGTTTCTATCGGTCTTACTTTCTCGTATAATCACGTTTTTTCAAGTATCATAGTCCAAAAAATAGTTGTTTTTTTGTTTTGGACTTGTAGTGGTGTTTCATTGTAAGGAAAAACATTTTAAGTAGGTAATTTATATTTTTGAGCAAAATCGAATTTTCGTAATATGGTACTGCTAAACGAATTATACGAAAAATTAAGGCTAATACAAATGTCTTACAGCCGGATTTTACATAAAAACTTAATAGGGACCACCAACTTTTGGCCTTCTTTTTTATCAGAACAGTGCTAATTGAAACCTCGAAAACAGTTAAGAAATAGTATATTACATACCGAGACGAACAGTGTTTCATTTCTGTCGAGAGATTAAAACTTACGAGAACTTTATCTCGAGACACAAATGAAACTTTTCAAACAATTTTATTCACAACCGCATTTTTAATTTTTGTAAAAAGTAAAAAATAAATTTCAAAAAGTTTGACCCGATCGATCATCAGCCGTTTTCGCCGTCATAGCAACAAACATTACAAAAAATGTGGTCACGCTATTTTTTTGCTAGATTGTGTGTCAGTTTTTGCTTTGCTAAATCTTTAAATCTATTGAAATGGTGAATTCAGACGAATAATTAACTCCAGAACAATGACATGCAGCTGCTTATACACTACAGAACGCGTTTAGTTGTGACACAAGTGGGACTAGTAAACGAGGGTATTAATAGAGGTAGGTAATGGAGGCAGTTAATAAAAGGTCAGTAATGAGACACTTTTCAACGATCGTCAAGGTTAGAAATGTCAATATTACATATTCGGTTGTGAATAACATTATTTTTATAATTTCAAATGCCATTTTCCCAAAAATTCTCTGATAAAAAGTAAAATAGGTGTTGGACAATGTCAAAAAAAAAATTTAAAGAAAAAATTTTTTTTTTCCTGAACCGTCATCTTTTACCACATGTAACTTTTTAATAAATTGTTACAATCAAATAACTTTAGAGACTTTATTTAATAAGGGTTTAAAATATCCAGAAAATTGCAATCCATCTTTTTAAAACTGAAAAACGAACGTTTTATGTATTTAGTCCAAATTTCTCTATATTATTTTAATGTATGTTGTTTTACAATATTGTTTGTGGAAGATATTTTTTCAAATGTGCAAATACATAATTATCGTTTGCTTCAATATGTTTTTGCGCGCGGTTGCTTGTCGGCCGCCATTTTGGATGAAGTGTATGGCTTCAGGCGTCCCGGAATAATTTTTCTGTATCGGGTCCCGCATATTGGACAGTTCAATTTGAAATATAATTTCTAACTTTCAAATATTAGCATTTCATATTTACCCTATTACATCACATGACGAAAACTGCTCTCCAGCCGTTTCCTCGTCATGAATGTTTCATATTTTTCGTACGACTTTATTGACCGACTCGAGCCGGCGGCTATGTGACGAATTTAAATTGCATAAGCACACCCATCACGTTAAATAATTCCGAAATAAATCCACTCAACTCCGGCCCTGATACGGCACACGCGCGATTAATCCGGCCCCGGCGTCTCCGAGAGGTTTAATTTGTTCACAACGAAATTAGCTTAATGAAAATATCACTGTCATTTCTAGGCGGAGACCCTCCTCTCTGAAATGCAAATGAGATGTTAGCCGGTTTTCTTTTTGTTTGAACGAATGGAAAATTCGTTTTATGATATTACGATCTTTATGTCTGCTTGATGAATATTTAAGTTTCTTCTCTTGTCAGATCTTTGCTGCTCTCAGTGTTTTCGAGATGTAATATGGCACTTCACAGAAAGAATATAGAATTTATATGTTTTATAGATCCGCTTTATGCCGGGGAAATATAGTTTGGTGTTCCTCTGCTGCCCCTCAACAACTTAGGCAGATACCGGTGCAAAATTCAAAACGATATGTTTGTTCTCGAGACGCTCTCGATGCTTTTTACGGCCGTTTATACGACGGACGACGCTTATGAGATATTCTTCTTTTTGTTGCTTCTTTTAAACATCACCTTCAGAATTTTTCTACTTTTAACGGAAAACACGTCAAAATGATCGCTTTTGTTTTGCTTCCTTTTACCATTTCATATTCCAATTCGATAAAATATATGTCGAAGTAGCGAAAACAACTCAAGAGAATACTAAATGTGATACAAAGGTGACAATCAACGGCTTTAGGTTTTCGATCCACTTATTTTTTAAACAAGGCGATAAGATTGAGTTTTTTGACCGAGCCTAAATTGTTAACTTACAAGGGACGAAGTTCCAAGTGAATTAATCCCGGGAATTGATAACGCATACGTAAAATAGTTGAATAAAATTATATATTTTTTTCTATAGCATAATTCACTAAACGTTAAATTGTTATTAAGATCACTTCTAAATCGTAGTAGTGTGGATGGATTTTTCTATGATTTTGATTTTTAGTACAAACAATTTCTTGAAAATCAGAAACGGTAGGTAGATAAATTAGTGCCCCAAAAATTGTAGTACTTACCAATGCTTTCAAAAATAGGAAAAGGTAAAGAAAATCAACAGTGTGAGTGTATTAATTTATAATGTGACGCCGTTAATATCCTGTAAAAGTCTGTTATACAGGCTGTATTATAAAAAACGCCCCAAGCCATAACTCCATTATTTTTAAAGATATGAGAATACTTCTTGAAACAGTTTCTTGTCATCTATTGTTTGGCATAACGCTCCTTCCTATTTCACCGGAAGTGACATTATTTTCAGTTTTTTAAATATAAGACCTTGTATATTTTATTAGTTTTGAAATCCCCATTAAATTGTCTTTCAACAAGCTCACTTACTATTATTTATTACTAACTTTTGTTTTTAGGCAATTTGAAAATTAAATTAAATTAAGTAGGGTGTGGAAAGAACAGAATATTTTTTTTCATTTTATCTTAAACAAGCAAACGACTGATAACGAAAAACTGTGCAACTTTGAACAAAAAAGTAGGTATTATAACGTCTTTAAAAGTAATGAAATTATGGCTTGGGGCGTTTTTTATATTACAGCCTGTATAACTATACAGAGCGCCCAGAAATGTGGTAGCAAGTTTTTCCATTGATCTCGCAAGAAGACACTTTTTTACAGAGATACCTGGCAACGCCGCTATCTAAATTGAGTTAAAGAAATGTCAAGAATTGTCAAACGTAAAACATTCAAATTTAAATTTTATTGAAAGTGTTCAAATTAATCCCCATAATGCTCAATGCATAACTGAATCCTTCGAGCAACATCTCGACAAATTTTAATGCATAAATCGGGCTTAAGTTTAAAAATTTTATGTTGCAAGATTGAACAAAGGCATTTTGAAAGTGCCATCTTGTAACACTTTGTGTAAATGTTGCTACCACATTTCTGGGCGCTCTGTATCAACCGTGTGGTGGTTAGTATTTTTTGTGATACTAAAAGACTTTGGCATTTTATTCAAAATCATAATGGCAAGTAAATTCAGACTTAACGCAAAGTAACCTTTAAATGTGTCTTTTATACAGCAACATGCGTAAGAACATACCGTGTGTACGGTGACGAACAGTGAATTTCGTCCGTCCAATTTCCATGACACACGGGTGATAACTGCCACAAACGCAGGGACATAATTAACAGATTCTAGCAAGAATATGCTTTTCTTTTACACCAGAAGTTCGATCAACATTTTGAACAAAATTTTTGGACTTGGTTTTACTTTCTAACTTTTAACTTGATCGACACTTTTTATCGGAGGTAATTGGAGTTATTTACTGATTATTTATTTACTGATTTATTTATTTACTGTTTCATCCGAAAACAAGCTTCAGCTTAAAATGTTTTTTTTATTACTTTAATGTTTTGAGTAAAGCACGCCCTAAAATTTTATTAAACCCCAGCCTAGTGCATAACCTTTAATTTCAATGTGATAGAAAAAACATTACTACCTTTAAAAAATCAGGTAGAAAAATATTGCTACGAGAATCAACTGAACTTTGGTAAAACCTCTAAAAACCCTGATTACCTAATAAATTCTACTATCAACTGAAATGGAGTGTAAATTGAGTTATATTTTGACAATTAAACAATTGAAAGTCTAATATAATTAATCAAAGGTGGCGGTTTTCAGGGAAACAGTCGTAGTTTGTCGTATATGGGAGGATTTTTTAATAATGTATGAACTATGAAACGTAGGTAAATAGTAAATTGCAATATTTTTGGAAATTGAACAGAATGTTTTAAGGTCACCTAAAATTCGCTCTAAAGGCCATATCGATGAAAATTGATGAACCCGTCCAGAATTCATGTGACAGTCAGCCGACAAAGTAATTAACGCCCATGACATCATGCTTCATTTAGATTGAAGATTTCACTGTTGAAATTGACGAGTTAGTTAATTTTAAGTGCGTGATGTTATCAATTAACAAGTGTTTAAATTAATTATTTAATAATTACCCTACCATGTTTCTTGTTAATTACTTACTAGCCTCCATAATGAAAACAATTGTTTGATAAACACTGTCACGATTTTCGCTAGAAAAGTCCGGAAAATTTCCCACCGATGCAAACAAGAGCGAAGCTCTCGTGCATCCTAATTGGTCTCAATTACGAAGCTAACACGATTATCGGTCCGCATTAATTAATCGGTGATGTCACTTAAAACAATATCACCTACCTGTCACCGAAGGGAAACATGTGCGAGAAGGGCGGAGGCACCGGACGAGGAGGCTCCGAAGAAGCTGAAGCTGCCGGACTTTGCGGCGAAGCCGGATCCGGAGACGTTTCGGCCACTCTCTGTTCCGGAGTCTCACGTCCGCTGCTCCGGCTAGAACATTCCCGGACCAGTTCTTCATCTGGAGCCGTCACTTCCGGGGAACTCGTTTCTTCAACCTTTTCTTCTTTCGCTTCGTCCTGGTCCCGTTTCACCACGTCTTGGCCGTCGCGTTTGCGCTGCTCCTCCTTCAAACGCTCGGCTTTGCGCCATTTGGCGCGACGGTTTTGGAACCACACCTGAAAATTTCGATAATTTCAGGTCGAAAGTGGTAAGCATTTTTTATTACATTGCGACCTGAGAACCAGAAGCTTCCAAGTGACATTTTTATTAATTTTTAAAATAATTTATTATTATAATTCTCATGCCATTGCATGCAAATCCACCATTTATATCAAAATTAACAGAGTTAGAGTTTGTGCTTTTTAGTTGTAAGTGGGCTTTGCCGTTAATTGCTAGAACCAAAAAGTTCCAAGTGCTTTTTTTAATGGCATCGAAAAACGATATTTCCGGTAGTTGTAACAGTAATAGCGTTGATTCTGATGAACAATATTTCTGAGTAAATTAGCAAATAAAATAGCGACTATTTAAGTAAGGTAATAAGCTTTATTTTGAATTCGTCATTCATTGTAAATTACAACAACAATTTCAATATTGCTGAAAAATAAATTCTCAAGACAAAAAAAATATTTAAATTAGGTCCATATAATTCTGAGATACAAATTTAGACGATGATACTGATCTAAAACTAGAAAACCAGTATAGCCACGTAAAAGGCAAGCAAGAAAATGGAAGAAATAGCTAAGAAATTTTTTTTGTCAAAATATTCAATTACAATTTTAAAAATAAAAATCAATATTAGAATGTTTGTTTATTTCAAAAATAGTTATTTATTATACAAGACGATAAAGAAATTGTTTTTCTACGAGTGAAAAGGTTAAGTTTACGAGTGACGAAGTCACGAGTGGACTTTTTTCAGGAGTAGATAAACAGTCTTTATCGTCGTGTATAATATTTCGTTTTATTTTGCACTCACCTACCAGAATTTTTTGAATATAAACAGTTGATAAAAATTACTTTGTTTTACTAGACGATAAAAGGCTACGTTATCTACTGAAATTTGTTTGATAAAAGCACTCTTTAACATTGAGTACAAAATAAATACTTAAAAGATTCAATTCACTCAATTCCAATTTATTTCAGGAGTAAAAATAAATATTTCATTTATTTTATTCCCGAGGGAATAAAGTAGCAGATTTATTAGTTAAAAACGAGAGAATAAAGTATAAAGTAAGTAATTGTTGTTTAAAAAGGTAATAACAAATTAATAACATTTTTAATCGATACTACGTATAAAATATTATGCACATTTGAGAACCATAGGGTTTTAAGTACGTGCACAATTTAGAAAATAAAATGACATTGGATAATGTGACTAATTTATAATTAGTTAAATACATACAGAAGTATAAGGCACATAATTTAATTGATACTCTTAAAGATTAGGGTATATGTGCAAACATTATAAATGGTGCCCTGTAAAATTTACTAAAAGTCAGTTAGAACCTTCTGGTCGCGATATATTTTATTTGAACATATCGCATAAATGTTCTCATTTGAAAAAACAATACTACATACAGGTGTCTCAGAACGGGCTCCCCAGAGAAAACTATCATGTAAATAAAGTAAGATAACAGGAACATGGGAAAAGTGTTAAAAAAATCTCTAAAAATTTCGAAATTATAGAAGTTTATACCTGGCACTTTAACACTATTTATTTCTGTTGAAAAAATGATTTTCCAAGTTTTTTTGCTACAGGCTATTAGAAAAGGAAACAAAGAAGCTGTATCCTAAATTGTATAGTTACAAAACATAGTTGTTTAACGTTATTTGTTGTTTTTATTGGTAAAAATTTTGTACCTTTACTGAATAATTATTAAAAAACATAAACAAGATCATCAGTAACATTAAATAGAAATAAAAAATATTTAAAAAAATGTCAAAATTTTTGACAGATAGAAGTTTTTAAACATTTTTTCTATGTTTCCATTATTTTTATCTTTCTCTGGGGCGCGAGTTCTAAAACAGCCTGTATAATGTCACACAACACCATGAATGTCACTTTTTTATTTTAATATCTACCTTTAGTAGGGCTATCGCCCGTTATTTTCTCTTTTTGTTTCTATTTTGAAATCTAATATTAAAATACGCCCTTGTTACTCCCTTGTTTTGGGAGAATAATGCAAAAATGTATTTGTTTCCGTTTTACTCAACAAATTTGCGTATGAGTCCCATTTATCTTGGTCGATGTATGACGCACGTTCGTAATCATCATTAAAGTATCAGTTTACATCGAAATCGAATTGAAAGGCCCGCAATAACATTTCTCATGTCAATCGGGTGTCGGTTTACAAAAGCCGAGGGGTTGGACCGAATTTATGCGATCGAGGGACAGGTTTGACTCGAATTTATCGGTCCGATAACCAAGAGTTAACACCTAGATGGAAAATGAAAAATAGCACATGGGACACGGATGGTCACGTGTCTTTAATTGGGGCGTGTACTTTGTTGTTTTTTTCAATAGAGACAAAAAAGGAGACACGCGTGCGTTTAATTGTTTAGTAATTTCATTTGACAGTAGTCTCGAGAGGGCACAAGGGAAGAACTGTCACGAAATCTCAATTAGAGGGCTCAGAAAACACTGATAATATATTTTTTATTTTATTTTATTTTATTTATTTTTTGATAATAGAAGAAGGTCTAAAGTGGGCCCTTGGTGCGCACTTTTCCTCTAGTTATTTGGGGTTTTGGCCGTAAAAAGCGTCAGTGTAGGGGAGCAGACAATGCCGTTCAAAAAATATATAAAACATCACAAGACATCGGCCAATGTAAGTGACTGTAATATGACACTGGACATGTCGGACCCGGTCTGTGTTCATTGACTCGAGGGAGTTTGGTGTTTTATAATGCGGCCACGCGTCCGTTCCGTCTTCATTTCTGTCTCTCGAGTTTAACGTTTTCGGTCAAAAATCAAATTTGGCGAGTTCTCGTCTTTCCAGTTGGATTTCGTTGTGAGATGATTCCGGGCAATTAGGGCCGGCTGCCCGCTGCGACACTTCAGTTCTACCAACACACAACACACTCATTATTGTCACTAACAAGCGGATAACGAGTCCGAACAAATAATAAGGGTGCTTATCCCATTACAATCTGCCACCCTTGAATTGCACCTATAATATCGAGGAGTAAATCGAATGATCGGTGGACGTTATTGTTTTCTTTTTCCATTTTGTACAACCCTCCCTTATGGAAAAATGATGGGAGGGTGACCGAAGGTTCTGTATTAATTTTATTACGGGTTTATGATGTGAATTCGATGCGTTTATTGGCTAGGAGGAACGCGGGATTTGACAGAATTGACAAGAATTAAGTCAGATGCATGTGTTCTCTATTGATGGGGGAATATTTAAGATTATCATAACCAGAGAACAAAAACTAAAGCAGTTAAATTTTTGTTCTCTATAACATAATACCATGTTCACAATTAAATTTCTGGACAGAAAAGTCTACGATTTTAATTTTGATTTTAAAATCAATATGTGACACTAAATACAAAACACAGAATGATAGAAGATATAAATCAGTCTCTTCATTTCTCATATTGTCAAAATTGCAGGCCATTTTAATCGCAGATTTAATTGAAATTTGACAATGATGTTATAAGAAAAATTATTTACCACTATGGTTGCTTTCTAGGTAAGTTGTAGCTAATTAGGATAAAAAAACATAATAACAATTATTTAGAATTTTTACTAAAAAACCTTTAAATAAAATCTAATCTCTTTTACCAAAATATTTCGTCCAATATACAGGGTGCGCCAGAACTCGCGCCCTAGAGAAAAATGCCATATAAGTAAGGTAAGATACCAGGAACATGGAAAAAATGTTAAAAAAACATCTATAAAAATTTCGAAGTTATGAGGGTTTAAAGTTTGCACTTTGACTCTATTTATTTCTGTTGTAAATATAAGTTTCCAAGTTTTTTTGCTATAGGCTATTAAAAGAGGAAACAAGGAAGCCGTATCCTAAATTGCAACTCTATTCAACGTTATTTGTGGCTTTTATTGGCAAAATTTTTGTCCCTTTACTAAATAATTGTAAAAAAAAAAACATATACAAGATCATCAGTATCCTTAAATAGATATAAAAAAATGTCAAATGTCAAAAAATAAATGTCAATTTTTTTTCATTTTTTAAATATTTTTTCATGTTCCTGGTATCTTACCTTATTTGAAAATTTTCTCTGGGGCGCGAGTTCTGGCGCAGCCTGTATTTTATTTTTTTTTGTAAGTAAATACAAAAGTGTCGGAAAACTTTCAGCTAAGCATAACAATGAATTTAAATTTTCGTTTCAAGCCTTTTTTGAGAAAAACAGAGCTATCAATTTCCAAATTATCATGTAAACATCTTCTTCTTTTGTTTCCGATGTTGATGGATTTCATTTATTGTTAAATTTGCTAGTTTGTTTAATGCTTTTTACACCATAAGACACAAATTGGCGATGTTTTTCAACAGATATCTGTTTAGTCTTGCAAGATCTGCTATTTCCGCTGACTAAATTCAAGCTAACATAATCTGAACGGCCAAAAACCTAACCCAAAATCTAATCTTTGAACAGTTATACTTGTGAAAAAAGGCTTAAACAATTTTTTGTCATGGGAACTTTTAACTCAGTTGGATGTCCTTTATCACCACCCAAGTAATGGGCCGACACTTTTGAATCACCCTATATTTTCACTGTTTTTGAGTAAATTGTAAAATTACATTTCTATCATATTGATTCAAAATTTTTTTTTGTTACTCCCGAAAATAGCTGTTTTAGGAACTCATTTGATTACCTAAAATGAGTCTTTTCTGCGGACTCAATAAAATAGTAGGTACGTAAAATGGTTATTTTAGGTACTCAATACTCCAAAATATGGTTTTTCCGGGCGAAAAAGTCAATTTGATTACTATGGTGACGAATTTTTTAAATTAATAAGAGGTGTGAATGCGTTTTTTGGGAGCTTTAACAAAAAATGTTGTTTGTAACACGTACCTAAAACGTTTTTGCGGACTCATTTTTGCGGACTAAGCAATGATTCGTCCGCAAAAACTGTGTTTTAGGTACTTGTAACAAAAATAACTATTTTGCTGTTTCCGGACGAGGTGAAACCAAGTCTGGAATAGCAGATGAGTCCGCAAAAACGTTTTAGGTACGTGTTACAAACAACATTTTTTTGTTAAAGCTCCCAAAACATGAATTCAGACCTCTTATTATTAAAAAAAATTTGCCACCATAGTAACCAATTAAATTTTTTAGTCTGGAAAAACTGTTTTTGGGGACTCATTTGAGCTGTTTTCGGGAGCGTATATAAAAAATAACCATTAATGTTTTTTTTTTATTCAATAACAAATTTTGTACTTAATTTTTTTCATTTTGATTTGCATGTAAAAATTGATTTTGTGGGTGGGTTTAATAAGAATTTTGACAAACACTACGGTTTTAAAGATAAATAAAATGAATGTGCAAAAATTTTTGAAAACGTTGGTCCTATTCGTTGATCTAATACACAGTTAGTGTTTTTTATTTATTCACGTCTATTGTGTGCAAATTTCGAATAGCGAAAGAGCTTCCGGTTTGTATGAGGTGCATCTCTGACCACTCAAATTTCTCAGTGTTAGGCACCTAACCCGTAATTCACGTATGCATTTACAAAGCGAATGAGGTCCTCCGTAGCTGACGAGTGTAATTGTGTCCGTAGAGGCTCATTAGCGAGCTCTAATTGCCGTCGGAATCTAATACACACCTCGCAGAGGGACTTCCTGCCGGCCTGGGGCCGTTCTCTTGTCTGTTGGCTCAACTCTACGTGTCAAATTAGAGCCTGAGGAAGCGTGGAAAAGGCCGAAACGTCTGCGATGAATAATTCGTCGATGGAAAACCGTCGACAGCGTTTTAATGAAGTTAAATAATAAAACGAACGTTAATCTGACCACTTAACTTTTAAAGCGTGCTCGCGGAACTAATACACTTTTAACATAAATTTACTTTGGGAGGCTTTTCCGCGAGATCAAATTCGTTTTAATCACACATTTTCCTGAGTGATTTCATAAAACAGCGCAAAGTGCTGTCTCTTACGACGTTTTATCATATTAAAATAAATAATCCGCTCATTTGACGTGAGCTTTTAGCCCTCGAACGGAGGCGAGGTACACAGCTTCCACTTCTTAATTCCATTACCCTACTACCACTAGTCCAACAATTAACGATTTTTTTTTGATGATGCACTTGTGTTGGATACATGTTTATTAGACGAACATTTGCCAGGGGATGGGATTAGCCACCCCTCTGATGTTTGCGCTCCAGGCCGAAGGGTTGGAGCTATACTTGTTACATTGTGATAACACAAAGAACAACATCTGCTGCGGTTTGCCGAATAAACTAACCAGAATTATGGCTTGCGTAATCGTTATTAAGGTGTCTTTGTGTTTACAACAAATCTATTAGTAAACCCTTAAACCCTTTTTCTTCATTTCAAACAAACGAAAACAATTTTTTTATTCGTTCTTTGAAAATTAATCGACAGCGTCAGTAGTTTTATGAAGTAGCGATAGAGTGACAGATCTACACTATGTGGTCTAAAAGTAAAACTATTAAAATTTAGAAGTTTATTATTTTTTTAGTAAATGACACTAAGCATAGGATTTTTAATAATCACATTACATTTTACAATTCGATTATTGTGGATCCACAACTAACTATTTAAAATTAGTATTGAAACAGAACATTATTAAAATTAGTTGGTTGTTTGCATAAATAATGTTTTTAATCATGCAACATATTTTAATAAAATCATTACGCTGCTAATGTGCTAATCATACACTATTTGAATAGACAAGTGACTAGGAAATAGCTGTTTACGTCTCAAGGGAGTAAAGAGTTTTTTACAGTAGAAACAATATCTGTTATTTTCTTCAATTTTTATTGAATAAAATTTATTTTAATTAAAATCATTCCTATTCTATAATAAAGAAAGAAATGTACCTATTGAGAAAAATGCCATGTCAGGTGAATTACCAAGAACATGGAAAAAATGTTACAAAAACTCTATTTATAAAAATGTCGAAGTTATGGAAAACATAGTCAAATCTTAAAGATTTCTGAAGACGGTACATCAAAAACTTATTGTCTCTGTCGGTAGGTACGTGATAACACAGGGCGACAAAAAAAATTCATGTCGTGACAACTTGACAAATTATACATATATCATTTTGTTCGTCTCAGTAAGACAAATCAAATGCACTAAAAATTTTTACAAAAAGTCCACACACTTCGAACTATTTTCTTTTCTCATTTAAATTAATTTAAAATACTTTAACTTTAAAAAATCATTACTCAATAACTATTAAGCCGATTTCCTTCAAATAAAGACCATTCTAAAGGGATGGACTTGCCCTTTAGAGTGATATACAATGTGAAATTGAATATTTGCTTTAATTAGTACGCAGGTACTCTTTGTTTGTTTTAAGTAAAGAAACAGTTTTTGTTTATTCTAATTAGAACAAAGAAGGGTGCAATTGACCATTTTTAAGCAAAAGAAGCGTCTTAAAACAAATACTTTTATAAAAATAAAATTTTAAGTAAGATTAACATGCATTTCTCCTATATGGCGCAATGCCTGAATAGCAAACCTTAACTTCAAAAAATCATTTCTTGAAAACTACTCGGTATATTATTTTAAAAATTTGGATTCCAAAAAGATGCTCTACACGATGGTGACAAAGAAAAAAAAATACTCGTAGGGTTTTTCTTAGATTATTTCGATTTACTTCGAACTTCTTCGAACATTGTTCGAAGAAAAGTTTGCCAATATTCAATTTCAAATTTCATATCATTCTGAAGGACAAGTCCATCCCTTTAGAATGGTCGTTATTTGAAGAAAATCGGTCTAATAGTTATTGAGTAATGATTTTTTAGAGTTAAAGTTTTTTAAATTCATTTATATTAGAAATAAAATATTTAGTTCAAAGAGTGTGGACTTTTTGAAATTTTTTTAATGCATTTTATTTGTTTCACTGAGACGAACAAAATGATACCTATATAATTTGTCAAGTTGTCACGACATGATTTTTTTTTGTCGCCCTGTGTAATAAGAACGCATATTTATCCGGTCAAACGTTTTAAATTATTTCCCATTTTGTAATGTGGGGTCTTGTGAATAAACCTGTATTAATGCAACTAAACTAATCATTATAAAAAAATCGCTTAGTAAAATACTTAAAATAGAGTTTTGTCCAATTAAACAGCATTAAATAATCTTCTTTGAGTATTTCAAAAAAAAAAAAAATGACACTACTCGTAGTTGCCAAATGATTTTTACGAACGACAATTTTTTTTTACATTATTCCTCAATTCAAAATAAGTCGACTAACCTGGACCCTGGCTTCGGTGAGGTTGATCTTCATTGCCAGATCCTCCCTGGTGAAGACATCCGGGTAGTGTGTTTGGGCGAAGGCGCTCTCCAACTCCTCCAACTGCTGGAGGGTGAAAGTGGTCCTATTCCGCCTTTGTTTCCTCCTGACGAAAGTATCGTCGTGGATGGCCGGATGGTAGGAATAGCTCGTGTCTGCACAAGGATCGTTTATTTTATTGCCTTTTGGTAAAGATTTCTTGGTAACGATGAACGTGAAACGTCTGAGATTATTACATGTAGCAAAAAGTGACCGCAGGTCAAAGTTGGAAAGTTCCAAAGTAGATTTTTCTACGAAACAAGATAACTCCATGTAACACAAACTCTATTAAGATTATTGGGTTTGGAAGAAGCTTACCAGACGGCAAATATTACCGAATACGTCTCGGCGTTAAGTTGTTCAGTGAAATGTTGCGAGAGGGAAGGCAGAAATGGAAAATTTTATATTTCTAGATAAAAATTGATATAAAAATGTTATTGGTCAGATTTGCTCAGATGGACAAGTGCCAGTTCTCCGAATTCATTTATAAATTGACTAAATTAGTTCACCGAAAAATCGTTCACTAACAAATTAATTGGCGTTCTGATCAAATTAAGCGTCGACATCGATAAACTGATGAAACTTTCCGTTTCATTGATGACAATATTATTTTCAAATTAGATTTAAATTATTTGTGATTAATTTTATGGACAACAAGTGGAAATCAAAACGTTTTTGCGTTATCTTTAGTCAGATTTTGTGATTTTGTATTTCATCTGCGCACGTTGTAAACCTCGTCAAAAAAATAATTTTAATTGAAATTTAAAAATGGAGAGAGCTTTTAAAGCTGATTATGGTCGAACTAAAAAAGTAAACAGAACGGGAGAGGAAAAAAAGCATTAACTTCACAATAAAAAGCAATTTTATAGCGCGCAAAAACCGATTTTAATATTAAATCAATAAAGCGGTAAATATTTGATGAGTTTGAAATAAGCGATGTTTGCGCGGTTTTAATTCGCGGGGAACAGAGCAGATTATAAGATTAAATATACAATTTCTCTGAATTAAACATGAGATTTTAATTAATATATCCTCGGCATGGCGGTAATGTAATTACGCATAACTGAAATTAAAGTTTAGAGATGCCGGTTGTGGATTTCGTCCGAAAAGTTATCCTATGATGATGAAAGAAGACTCGGATAATTACATTTAAGCATTTGAATTTTTTAAAGCGCGGCGAACAGAGGAGGATTCGAATTTTTTCCTGCAGATGGGAGCGTTCACCAAGCCCATAACACAATAATCAACAACTTATACAGTATACAGTTACTTTTAGAAAAACTTTGGTTTTTATTCATTGTGCAAGGAGATATTTCAACTAAGACTTTTCGATTACTTACTTAAGTTATTACCAATTAAGTAAGTTGCATTTGTATCTACAAAAACCTAAAAATAAAAAATAATTATCTACATACTTAGAATAAGAAAGGGCTTGAGTCGCGGATGCGCATTTGTCAAAATAAGGGTAGAGAAAGGAGCTTTTTTTATAGTTCTGCTGTACACATCAATACCTACACACTGGAAATATGGTGCAATATGGAGTTTGATCAATGCGAAAATAGAACAAAATTGTTTCACAAACTGTACCGCAGCTAAAGCGGTTGTTCATCACTCTCTTACAGAGATTCGCTCTTCTATCTTCTGCGCATTCCATGGCCTTTTTTATTCTAGACAAGTTTGCGGTTTCTTGATAAATTTTTGTTCCCTATTTTAATTTGATCTGTAGTAATAATGTTAGTTATATTATTACACACTGTCGTGAAATATTTCAGTTTTTGTATTTTGGAATAATGTTTTTGTTTTTCTATTTTCATTACAGACTTTTGTCTGTCTTTTTTTACGGAAATGTTAAATAGGCTTAATATTGGTAGCAATAGCAAATTTGTTTGTGGTAGCTACTTATAATAAGAAGAGTTGACAGTCTCGATTTTGTATTGTTTTTCCAAATTTTATTATACATCAGTGAAAAAACGTCTTAGAAAATTTAGAGACGAAAACAAAAAGATTTCAAGGAACAATAACAAAGAAGAAACAAAATTTTTATCCATGGAAACAATTTTTCTATCAAAATTTTGACTATTTTACCTTTCATATCAGTATTTTACAAGAATATTAAGTTTTTGCGTACATACATTCTTTTTTTCCTAAAACAACCACCAAACGATATTTATGCTCTTATTATAAAACGAAGAAGTTACATTTCATTTTTCTTTTTCTTGTAAATGGGCAAATATGACTAATATGCAGGGTGTTTCAAAGAACTTGACGAGGCTTGCGCCTAATGTACGCACCCAAATATAAAAAAGTCACAAAACACTGGATACACAAAATACACATTAAATTATTTAATTTTTAGAAACCCATGACAGTAGTTGTCAAACTAATCACTAGTCATAAACTGCAATTTTTCGGAAACAAATATCATTTGTTCTATCAAGAGACGGCATGAATATTATTGTAGTTTATCTATCTTAATCACTAACTAACTAAAAACGTTGTAATTTTTGAAAGTGTGAACAAACTAGAGAAGATCAAAATAATCAAGTTCATATCGGAATATGTATTATTGATTGCATCTTACAGGCGCAGGCCTCGTAAAATTATGTGAAACACCCTGTAGACACTTTTTCTTTGAGGCATACAGAAAAATATCTTAATTAAAAGTTTTATTTAAATGTTCATTTGAACAAGCCTCCGATTCCGGAGTTGGTCCGGAGTAGCGTCATCACTTTGCCATTGGCGATGATTTCCCGCAAAAAGCTGGATTTGGCGTCCGTTTTATTCGGCGATCCATCGATATTCCAAATGGAATGCGAAATCAGTCCGTAATCGGTTCTGACAGGGCTCGGTCCGGAATTTCATGACGCGATGACAAACACAATGATTGAAAGATAAATCGTCGCTTTCTCTGCGAGGTCACAGTTCGCTAATGCGCCCTGTGATGATGCGATTATCCGCTAATCCCGTACCTGGACTCTGTGATTATCGGTGCTATTGTATCGATAAAGAAGAAATCTGTCATCAACGTCGGACGCGCGACTCGCTCTCCGGAGATTCGGCACCCCCTAATGACGAATTTCGGCACCGCATGTCGCATCAAGGGTGGATTTAGTTATCGCATTAGTTTTGACCTCGTAAAAGAAGTATTTTTGACAACCTGTGATTATGCGCTAATCTTGTCGGGAGACGGAGTAAAAGTCTATACTTACAAGGGTGGGTCGGAGTGAATGGGTATTCCAGAGTTGGCAGACGGGGCTGTGGGGCGCCGGGGTGCAAGGCGGGCGGGCAGTGGTAGCAGAACATGCCTCTGCCTCCCCCACCCGCAATCTGAAATAAAAAAAAGTTAATTAACCAATTTACTCTTAATAAATGTACACAATTTCTATTTAGAAAAGTTTAAAAATGCTTTAATTACTCAAGCAACCGAAGTGCATGGAACAACAATTATCCTGTTGTGAGATAAACTATTTCTCTGCTAACAACCTATTTGTCATTACACTACGGCTTTTTTATGATGAAATTAATTTCAAAATTATGCGGGTTTGCTCATAAAATTTTGTTAAGTGGAAGTGGAGAGTCTTTGTTATGTATTATCTTATAAACGTAACTTTTAATTATTTATATCAAAAAAAAACAAAATAGTAATGATGAGTAATGGCAATTGATATAAAAATTAAGAAGGAAATATAAATAAAAAATAAAAGTAATAATGCTTATACAGGGTATTTCACGAGTGATAATGAGCCTTACGGAATTGAAAATACAACCTACAATACATTTGCAAAGTTAACGTGGATATTTTAGATATCGCATTGTTTGAAAACCCGATTATGAATCTACGATAGCTTTGCTTCCAATAATTTTATTAGTCACAACTGACATTAAATTTAACAAAAAGTCAAAATGCATTCGATCAATGAGAAAACAGATGATTCTCATTTATGGCGAATTTGGGAAAAATGCTTCTGCCTTTGCAAAGACAATGTTTCCTGAATAGAAAAGCTCCAAAAAGGTGTGAATCATTAAAGTGTTTTCCAATGGTAAAATAACCTTAAAAATTGTGTTTCCTCTCTTGTCAATTTTTTGTGTCAGTCACGCGATAACTATGTTTTATTAATTTTAAAATTCATAATCAAAATCCATGAAGCCTATGCAAATGTATTACTGGTTGCAGTTCAAATTTGGTCAGGCTCATTATCACTCGTGAAATACCCTGTATATTAAAAATGATTAAAGACGATTTTTATTCACTAACAGAAAACAGGGAACACGGAGAAAACGTTTTAGAAGATTATATCTTTTATTTAACATTTTTTTATGGCTTTTAATTCTCTTCATTATAACATCTTGCGTTTTTTCACGTTTTTTCAAATAAAGGCACAAAAATATTGGCCACTAACGTTAAGGGTAACTGAAATTTAAAATACAGCTTCTTTGATTCCACCAAGTGACTAAATGATTATGATATTTTTAGTCTTTTTACCTCAAGTTGGTGTCAAATATAAGATTTTAGCGACTGCTATTTTAGCCGTCACCTGAAACATTCTGATATAACAAATTAGGAGGATTACCAAGAATTCAGGGTTGTCAATAGATTCTTTTTCACAAGCATTATTAGTGACCTGGTACTAAATTTCATTAAATACAAGGTGTTTCACACAACTTAACGAATTGCATTTAATTTTATTTTTGGCAACCCTTGACAATGATTGCCAATTATGCAATATTTTATTAATGGGTTTTCAAAAAGCAATTTTTATATTGGGTGTGTCAAAAAGGTCGGAGTTAAAGTTATTATAATTACGACACCAAAGACAAATAAAAATAAGCGATTTTTTAGTGACTAGGCATTCTTAAATGTGTAACACTTGCTTGAAGTCTGAAAAGACCTGGCAATAAATAATGAATTCTTAAAGGAGCAGCAAAAATAATCTCATTTTACAATTTATAACATTGGTCTAAGTAAATATTTACAAAATTTTGCCGCTCAACTATGGGAAAACTAATAAAATGTATTTGCATACCTGCAACTTATGGCAAGATATAAATTACCTTGCCATGTTACTAAACAAACAAATAGTACGTTATGAATTTTTTAAAAATTTGTCAATTTTTTGAAAATTAAAAATAGTTATTTATTCGACGAGTTTGAGTGAAATCGAACGCTTTATTTCACCGAGTGGATTATTAAAACCACGAGTGTTAACGAGTTACAGATTTGCTCGTTTCAGGTGAAGCAAAAATGTTTTTCCTTTGCAGTTTTGGCGTAAGATGAAAGATAAAAAAAATGTCTTCTTCTAAACTCAATCCGGAGACATACTGTATAAAATCGTTTTCTGTGTATGACTACATGTCTCTCATGTCACGCCTGTCTGGCCTTTTTGACACACCCGATATATTAGAACAACGAATGAGTAGACTTGAAATTAATCTACAGTCAAATTAAAAAAATTCAAAATTAAAAAATATTATAGGTATCATTATAAATAATGTTACTTACATTTTGACAACAAAATTGATTTGATGACAAATTACCAAACTTTATGATGCCAAGTAATCTAATTTTATAAATTCAATCTTGCGCTCGTATCCACAGGAATAATTAATTTTATCAAATTTGACACTAACGGCCTCTTTTTATTTTAATTTGAGTGTATCTATCCTCATCAGTTTTTTATTCGAAAATTTTTACTCTATCGATTTAACCAATAAAAAATTAGGGTTAAGAGGCCAAAAAAACACAGAAAATGTGACCTGCAATTGCTGGAACCGGAAATTGAGTAGATATGTCCGGTTTTTGTGATTACTAGTTTGGTATGGTCTCATAAGTAACTATTCCAAATTTTATAATATTTGATCAAATGGTTCCAAAATTATTACAAAAAAGAACAAATTTCCATACCCACATTCCGAGGGCTGTAAAATTCTTACCAATTGAGATAGGACAAGAGTTTTAATTTAAATTAACATCAATTTATAAGTCATTTTTGTAGTTCAAATATTGCTTCATATTTATGCATAACCCTAGATAACTATCAAACAATAATTAATTATTGCTAATTGTTTGAGGGGTGTACAAACCACGGAAGACCATGCAATTTTTCGATATTTCTAAACGAGTTTGTACCGGCTTATGTATATACAGGATGTTTTTTTTTAAACGAGCCACCCTGGATATCTTAAAAAATAAACAAAAATTAAAAAATTCTGAGACAGGTCTATTTATAATTTTTTGACAATGTTTTAGAGCTATCTTTGCACTTTTATACCTAGTAATTTGTTCCGCTAGATTTTGTTCTGCGTAACATAATTAAAAATACTCAAAACTCAAACAAAATACACAGCCGAGTTCCTGGTCAAAATACCTTTCATTTGGGGAATCACAAACGGATTGGTGCCATTCAAAAATTTGAAGGGGTTGTCTATACAGGATGTTTCACGTAATTTTACGAGGCCTGCGCCTGTAAGATGCAATCAATAATACATATTCCGATACGAACTCGATTACAAATTTTGAAAAATTACATACTTTTCTCTAGTTTGTTCACTCTTTAAAAATTACAACGTTTTTAGTTAGTTAGTGATTAAGATAGATAAACTACAATCATATTCATGCCGTCTCTTGATAGAACAAATGATAATTGTTTCTGAAAAACTGCAGTTTATGACTATTAATGAAACAGTGATTAGTTTGACAACTACTGTCATGGGTTTCCAAAAATTAAATAATTAAATATGCATTCTTTGTATCCAGTGTTCTGTGACTTTTGTATATTTGAGTGCGTACATTAGGCGCAAGCCTCGTAAAGTTATGTGAAACACCCTGTATATTACATAGGGGGTTGAAGCTACAACTTTCAAAAGTACACTAAAAGGTGTCCCCCTGTAATTAAAAATAGACTTCTCTCGGCATTTATTTTTTGTTTATTTTTCTGAATTATCCACGGTGGCTCGTTTAAAAAAAATTACCACGTATTACTGATTGCATTTTACAGGCGTTGGCCTTGTAAAATTATGTGAAACACCTTGTATACATATAAAATTAGTTTACTAACTGAAATAAATTGAGTTAAATAGGCAAACTTCTATACTTGCAAAAAAGATATATATTTTTTTGTTCTGAATGGTGAACAATATTTTTCCTAATTTAACAATACTTTTGCGTTTTTATTGTTTATTGATTTGTTGTAATTAATAATTTGTTTTTCTGCGAAGTTTCTGACAAGGAAATGTACAATTTTCAAGTTTTAGTCATGCAGGTGTGTCCTGTTGTCTATTATATACTTTATTCTCTACTGAATAAACAGAAATAAACAAACATTTTAATGGGTGTTATTAAAAAAAAAAGGTGAATGCATGTTTATCTACAGTTGTTGCCTTTGGTTTATTGCTTCTGTTTCATCTAATTCTAATTAGATTTTTTGTGATTTTCCTGTTCCATCTATCTTTGAAACTAAGTATATTAGCAAGCATCCCTAATGGAAACCGATCTAGATATGGAACCGTGTTTTTAAATTAGATAAAGCCTACACTGTCGGTCGCATCGGTTAAATTAACAGCGAATTAATTCTGATTAAGTTAACTATATTAAGTAGATACGTGACATCATGAGCGAGACAGTCGTCATATTTGTAATTATCATCCATCGGGTATATTGCGCTCTTGCTGCATGTCATAACATGGCGCTTAACAGAACAGACATATTATCGATACTTTGCCGAATTAGACCCACTTTAATTGGGTTTGATGTACGGAACTAATATCGAAAATGCAGATGCGGATGCAGAGAATGCTCCAAATCGCATTCCTACACAATCCGATCCATTTGCCTAATGGGAAGTGATCATTTTTACGCAATTTCCGCCGCTCTGAAACTTGTCCACTGTGTCTCGATTAAATAACTATAATTGTCCATCAAGAGTCCTACCTCCGCCCTCTCCTTCAATAATAATTAACATGCGAATGTAAAATTGATGAGATTATCGTGATGCGTCGGCCTGGATTACAGTATATAGTCTCGCATCGGGTCCTCGACAGCCTCGCAGCGGTAAGTTGATCACGGGGGCTCCGTCGTAATTCTATTAGAGTGGATATCCCTTACAGAGGGCCCCCTCCGTCAGCGAATTAGTCCCTAATCATACGTATGGAATGCAATTTGGACCGTGCAGCAACTACTCTACATGTTTGCCTAGACGGGGCGGCATAATATGCTAATCACGTCTAATTCGGGGAACGCACATTACCTACAGCCAATTGATATTAATGACGGAGGCTCTTCGGGAACAAGACCGACACCTGATGCCGACTACGGGAGTGCCAACGGGAATTTATTGGGATTTCTTCATTTGTTAAGTACGGGATTTATTATTCATAAAGGGGGAAGGTGAAAGGGGGACGTAATTAATTAGAGGAAGTTTGCACCGGACGTAGACGGGTTTTGCAAGCAAGTTGACAAGAGACCTGCTCAGATCTTATCAAGAGATTAGGGCCAAATTACCAGAAAGAAATTATGAATACAAAGTGGGGGCTAATAAATGGACCAAAACTTGTGCTTAGGCGATTAAAATAAGTCAAACAAATTATTTTAATTAAAACAAGTGGATACCAAAAAATATTTTTTCAAATATAATTTAATAAGTGGTCTAATTTTTTTCGGCCAAAATTTAACATTTCAGAAATGAGTAGCTTTTGCAATGAAAATTACACGAGGCGACGAAGGACGCAAGTGTAATTTTCCAAAAGCAAAAGCTACGAATGTCTTAAATGACAAAAAAAATAGACCAAGAGTTGAATTCGGGTTAACAATTCATCGAACAAATTTTTATTTATTTTTATTCTTTGACACTGTTAAAATTTACGGTTTTTCTCCCGTGTAAGGAAGTTTTGACAACTGTTTGGCATTTCTCAATAAGAAACGTCAGATTATTTTTAACAGATTTAAAGCAATTTTAAGTCTTGTTGAGTCTAATTTGAAAAGCGGCCGATTTACACTCAAACTCGTCGAATAAATAACTATTATTTTATGTTATTTCTAATAATTGTGTTTTTAGTAATTATGTATAATACTAAAGAATTTCTAATGTGTTATCGTCTATTTTGTTTAAGTATAGTATAGAAAAAAGATATTTGGTGTTTTGAACTGATTATTGGAAATACAATTTTTCGGCAACGTTTCGATTTTTATTTAATCTTCAATCAAACGAAGCGTTATTAATTAATTATTATTAATGCTGTTCTAACTAGATATTTCGGAGCCCCTATTCCAAAAAGCTACTTTGACAAAGTGTACCTACATGGGAAAAAATTTGGGAATAATGCATTAGTATTGAAGACTAATATCATTAAAAATATATTTGTTTATATTTTGAGTCGTTTTTTATACAGGCTGCGCCACTTACACTGAGTTAGAATAATAAAGTTTTAATTACAGATTTGCTCGTTTCAGATAAAGCAAAAAATGTTTTTCCTTTGCATTTTTGGCGTATCCGGGGACATACTGTATAATTTCAAAGTTTAAATTTTGCACTTTAACTCTATTTTTTTCTGTTGGAAAAATACTTTCCCAAGTTTTTTGCTACAGGCTATTAGAAGAAGAAACAAGGAAGCTGTATCCTAAATTTATTGTAACTCTGTCTAATGTTATTTGTGGCTTTTATTGGCAAAATTTTTTGTACCATTACTAAATAATTTAAAAAAAACATATACAAGATATGTAGACATAAAAAATTGTCAAATTTCAAAAAAAATGTCAAAATTTTTTGACAGATGGAATTTTAAACATTTTTTCCTGGTTCCTGGTATCTTATCTTAGTTGAAATTTTTTTCTGGAGCGCCAATTCTGATACACCCTATAGCTAGATGGATATTTCTCATAAATACAAAAATGTTTAAAAGTCTATAAAATTGAAGCAACGTGTTTTTTATTCATTTTAACATTTAGACAAGAAAAGAACACGAAAGAATTAACCAGTAAAAATTAAAATTAGATAGGTACCTACATAAAAAACCAAATAACAAATTTTCTCAAAAGTGTGACTACGAAAAGTTTTAAGAAGGAATTTCATAATTTGTGTTTATGGATGTACTTCTGTACTCTTTAGATTTATTTAGATAAAAAAAATATACATTCTTTGAAAATATTGCAGTTTTTGTTACAAGAGGTTAAATTAAAAACAGTTACTGTGTTACAATCTTTTTGAACATTCCAATGAGAGTGTTTAGTTCGAAAGAAGCCTTTCGGCTCTTCAGAGTGTTGGCTGCTCTTCTCTTCGTCCAGATAACTGTTTTGCAGCGTTTAGTTTATTAACCCTATTACAACAATTAGGTTTGTGGATATGACATATCGCTAATAAGCACATCCTGCCTGGTGTAAATTAAGTGCAAACTCAATTGCGAAGCGTCCTAAAGATTTAAATTTGAATCCAAACGTCCGAAAGCTTCATTCACTCCGTCAAAACCAAATCACAATGTTTTAATAAAATCAAGACGTTGATTCGTTTCGATGATTGTTGTTATTAGAGCTACTAATAGAAATCATGAAAACAATCAACTCTTCATATCGCTTTATTGGACAGATGATGGATCTGGCTACTTGTCGTTACTTATACTCGGCGCCCACATAAGAAAAAAGAAGTTAATAAATTCGAAAACGTACTGAGAATTCGAGAACATCTGCACTTATTAGGTACAATTTAATAGAATGTAACGCGCTGCTTAATGAGACGAATTAACTCAATTAGCAGTACTTTATACTGGTGCTCATTTTAATTTTTCTGTGTTTTTTCATTTTGTGTTAAGTGTTTTTTTTTAATGACGGCAGTGTGCTGGTCCGCGTTTTAAACTTGGGCTTTCATTCCCTAATTTGATTATTTGATTGACGAAAATAACATTTAAATTAATGTGTCAAATAATAATATCATGATGATTTGATAAAGACATATCGCTTCTTATTTATAAATTTAATAAGGCCCGTATATGGGTTCGGTCAGATGCAACGACTTAATGGAGAGATATATTTCTTAGCACGAGGATCGATTCATTACAGACAGATTCGGATTAGAAACGTATTCTATTTTTAATACGGGAAGAAATTATTTATATGTAACTGATTGCAACTGACGTCTATGCTTGCGTTGTAGGTCATCACTTTTTAATGATTTTTACAATTACATATGTTTCTTGCTTGAAGCAAATAAGAACATCAGAATTTTTTACTTGATTTAAAAAAAAATTGAAGTAAAACACTTAATGAGTTTAATTTATTTACTGAATGCAACAAATTGTTTTTCGAAAAATTATTTCATCGTTTTACTCAATTCTCAATAACATTTTCAAAACTATTTTACTAAAAGTTTACTAAGTTCCTTACTAAACGAATCATTTTATATGTTTGTTATTTATAACTACCAAAGCGCAGATTATAATAAGTAGTAAAACGCATTCTACTTTGTACGACTTTCAAGTGTATTTACTTGAAATTTTGTTGATAATAATTTTAGTTTGTATTATAGCAATTAATTTTGTTTTTTGATAAAAACTCGAAAAGCAAGGGACAAACGAACTTTAACACCTGCTTACTTAACCCATTTTTATTTAAATTTAAATATTTTTAAATATTTTCTTAAAAAAATATTTAATAAGAAAGAAGAGTAGTAAGGGTAAACATGTAAGGGCTTTATTTTTTTATTATCAAGTACAGAATAATGTATCTATTTTCAACATTGTAAATTTGTTGCATGCATATCTATCTTATGTAGGTATGTGTGAATTTAAATGCAATATGGTATAATATCTAATAACTGTAATAACATTTTAGAGTGATCCTCTACAGAGAAATTTACCGAAATCTTTGAAATACATCGGTTTTATCAATTTGGTGATAGCTCTGTTATTTAAAGAACAAACCTAATTATGACTTATTTGATAACTGATAAAATCATATTCATAATTTTTTCCTTATGAACAGCAAAGTCTACTATTTTGTAATTTAGTATTAAATTATCCTTGTCTAACAATTAATATCATAATAGCTTTTGCATCTTTGCGCCTGCTTCGATAATAAAATGTAAACTCAGCATCAGACTTGAGAAATGAAAAAATACAAAAACCTTAATTGTAGAAATAGAATTAGAAAATACCCGTACGTTAACTTTAAATTTAAAAAAAATTATCCTAGTTAAATAAAATTCGTAAATGTTCCATAGGAGAAGCAGTGATTTTATTAACAATAATTACGAAAACACTTACCTACGTCTAGTTTAAAAGCGAAAAAAACAGTAAAGTATAATAAAATACACCAAGGGTTAACATCATGTGATCACATGAATAAGTAAAGGAAGATGAGAGAGAAAGACTGAAGATATGAATTTACAAATCCAGACAAAATAAATTTGGTACGAGTAGCATTTTAAGACCGAATCCAAAATATTCTAATATAAAAAAAATGTAAACAGTAATGTATAAAATGTACGATAATTGTATAATTAAATAGATAATTATAAACTATTTTATCTTTTGTTTGAATTAATGAGAAGAAACAAGCAAAAATTCTGAGTACAACCCTTTTTTCTAAAAAAATACACATGTACTATATTAACTTGAACATTGAATAATTTTTTTGTAAATTTTGCACACTTTACCTTGTGACTGTCGCCGAAAATCGTGATGTCGGATCCGGGGGCTCAGCCCCCTCGCCTTTTCTGAGAGAGCCTTTTTTCTAGCCTCATGAACAACGCGTCACCGTCCACTCAATCGTCCTTTCGCGCCATAATCTTTCACTTAAAAATCGTAATAAAATCGAGTGTGAGCGCCGTCGTCGGTCGCCTTTATCTGCACAACAATCGGAGCAGGACAAATGACAGATCAACACGAGATACTGACGTTGCTAGGGGAGGTCCAGATGCTGGAAACCTTCGCGAACTTGCGCAGTGGACTTCCAGAGTCCGGGGGCGGAGCCGCGAGCAGGAAGAGGAGTCCTGCGAGGAGGCAACAGGACGAGGACGGAGACAGAGTCCTGTTCCGGTATACCGGATCGCAGTTAGTGGGGATACCGATACAGTTTATGGCTAAACACTAAACACTTTTTTTACGACCAGATTAAAGTGAGAGGGCTTTAATGGATTTGTTTTGTTATAAGCAAGATGGATGATGAGGTCTTTGTGCTGTGATATATTTGCTTGCGCCATTGGACGATGCAAAAAGATTTCGTATCATCCTTTTCATTTATTATCATCTCGCTAGATTTCTCTATTACGTTCTTTCCCTTTTTCGAGGATTATTCATTATTTAAAAGCAATTAACGGAGGCTTATTACTCGGTTTTCTTGTTTTTAACACACGAAACATCGATTTGGAATCGACAACCCACAAGCTTTCCAAAATTAAATCAAATTTAAATTTAAATTAATTTTCATGTTACCCACAAACTTGATGATAGTATTAACCATTTTTTAAATTACTCAAAAATGTAAAAATCAACTGTATAATACGAGTATTACTTGATGTGTTTTTGATATTTTCTCAATTTTTTGAATACATACAGTGTGTTTTAGAACTCGCTCCTCAGAGAAAAATGCCATGTAAGGTAAGATACCAGGAACATAGAAAAAATGTTAAAAAATCCATTTATAAAAATTTCGAAATTATGTTAGTTTAAATTTTGCACATTGACTATTTATTTCTGTTGAAAAAATGATTTTTTATGTTTTTTTGCTGGAGGCTATTAGAAGAGCAAACAAGGAAGCAAGCTGTATTCTAAATTGTAACTATATGTTTAACGTTATTTTGTGGCTTTTATTGTCATTTTTTTGTACTTTTACTTAATAATTATAAAAAAAACATACCACATAATCAGAAACAATAAATAGACAAAAATCTCAATAAAAATATCTCAATTTTCTAAACATTTTTTCCTGGTACCTTATCTTACTTGGAATTTTTCTCTCGGGCGCGAGTTCTGAAACATCCTGTATTATGTAGTGTTTTATGTCAAGCTAATGTTTAATTACAAAACCTAAAAGGAGCAAAAAAAGACAAATAAATTAATTTTTTTTGAATCCTAAAGAAACCGAAAAGGAGTCGGATGCATTTAATTTTTTTTAATTCTTTATTAATTATTATGTATGATTTAATCAGTCATACGGAATTTTAGTTTATACATATAAGTTCAATTGAATGATAGTCTAAATATTATTTTATAATACAAACATTTACAATGGAGTTTACTGTAAAAACAATAGGCAGATTTAAGAACAGTCTTTATGAAAATCTTGGTGAGAGCAGTACTTGAAACATTTAGAAACGAATGTCCTATTCATAACATTGCTATTCATATTACCACTTCTTGCTCCTTCATTGTTAACTGACTTGAATGTATTGTTTAAAATTGAATTTAAAAAGGTAGGTAGCAAGTGAAAAAGAATTGTTTTAATTAAAAATAAAAAGTGTGTTTCTTATGATTAATATCCCTCCTAGAATCACCTCCTTGAAAATACTTCTTTTGTAATTGTCTACTGGTGGCAGGTTGGAATAATTAGAAGACAATGCAATAAATCGTTTTAACACATTTCTACGATATTCTTTCAAAACAATAGCGCACGAATGTACCTTACAAATCCATGAATTTTGTAAGATTTTGTAAGACGAATATTACATTCGTTTTTTAATGGGACTCATATTTTGTCTGCATTAAATTCGAATCAAGATTTAGATTCGACTCAAGGGTGCAGCACTAGTTTGGAAATAATTTATTTAAAGATAGTGAAGTTCGTACCTAACTGAAATAGTAAAACGATAATAAATTATAAAGAGTTTAGAGTAGCAATGCCAATAATTGTTTTGTCAATATAAAACAGAGTTTATATAAATGGTTTTTTAATTGTTTAAATATGGTTCTCTTATTTACTGTAATGGCAATTTAAATATCCTTCTTAAATGTTATTTTTTCCCTAGAAACAAAATTTTATAATTTTTGTTTGTGTGGATTTTTAGTAACACTCTAGTATAATAAATTCTTATTTAGATGTTAAATAGTGACAAAAATTCATCTTTCTTTTTTTTGCTTTATTTTTTTTAGAATACGAGTAATTAATTATACAACTTCTTGTTTAGTGTTCCTTTTAACACAACCAACATGTTATTAAAAAAATTAAAGGTAACACTTAAAAATTTAGTTTACTTGTAAAAGTTTACAGTTGAAATTTTGATTTAGAAATGAAAACATATCTTTTCAACTGCGTTCAAGAGATTCAAGATTCTCAGCAGTATTATGTGTTATGTTTAAAAATACAGGGTGGCCTAATAAAAACAAATCACCTAAGTTTTTGACAATTTGACTCAATATATCAAAAAACGCTCGAATATGTAAATTTTGTATTCAAAGGGGACACTTGAATGTGTATACTTCTCGTTCGCGTCACTTCAACTCTTTTAAAGAGGGACAGCATGAATTTTTTTTAATGGAAACAGGGGTTAAATAGCATTTTATTTTTAAATCTATTAAAATCTCTTTACAATAAGTATTATTTTTTTTTATTTGATGCAATAGCGAGAAATCTTGTTTTAAAAATTACATTTTATTTACATAGTTAAATACTGAAATGGCCTTGATGGTGGCCAGGCGTCAAAGTAGTCTCGGACATTTCGAAGCATAATTTGATGGCATTCGTTTATTGTAAATTTTAAAGAATTTTGTTGATCTACATTAATTTTATTAGTTTAATGACTCGGGAATCTTTATTTATAAAAATGTATTTACCTAGATTTGTTACAAAATTATGTTGATCCAATATTGACCAAAATTAAAGAAAATGCCAATCATTACGTTATGAATGAGTTAATGTTTCAGTAAGATGAAGTTCATCCACATTATGCGCAGTTTTTAAATGAGAAGTTTCTGGGTTGGAAGGAGAGATCTCCAGACTTGCCTCCTTATGGAAGTCTTCTTATGTAGAGTCATCATTTAATCAGTAAAGTTTACGCCACCCAACCAAATTCTTTAAGATTTATAATTACACCTGATATGTTTCGGAATGTTCAGGAATAATTCGACCAGCGATGTACTGGTGCTTTATTTAACCCTTGTGTCCATTAAAAAAAGAATTACATGCTGCCCCTCGTTAAGGGTTGAAGTGGCGCGAACGCAAAGTACACATGCAAGTATCCCCTTGAATATATATATAAAATTGACCTGTTTGAGCGTTTTTAATACACTGTTTCAAAATGTCAAAAACTTAAGTGACTTGTTTTCATTGGGCCACTTTATGTGTGAGTACTATCACGAAAGAAAAGTGTTTTTAAAGAGTTATAGAAGTTTATTAAATAAAATAAAAATTTTATATGAGTACTGTTTTTTACGATTCTTCAATGTTCACATTGAAAAAACCTCTTGTGTCATAAATCTTATAATATTTTACTATGCGACGATCTCAAACTCTTGCACTTAACGCAAAACTCTGAAATAGGTCTTATTATATTTACAATTTTTTTATGAAATTGTAGCGAAATAAGCATAAAATTTGGAGAAATAAATTTGAGAGGGGGAGCGTTTATAAATATGGCTCAATCTGGCGCACCCCGGCGATGCCCATATCGTCTCGCATTATGTAATAACACCCCCGCATGACGTTTATCCGTTTGGCGGTAAAAAGCCTCATAAATCGAAAGAGTAGGTGGTAGTGTCCGTGTCTTTGAGGCGTTACTCGTTCGTAGGGTATTTTTGCATGCGGATAGGATGAATGCTGGCGTCTGAGCGATCCAGACAGGCAATCCATTGAGGCTATCCCGCGGGAACCATCCACTACGGCTCTGGTTACTCCTTCGTTTCCGGACCGGTTCACCGGATCTTTTCCCTATCGGAGAAAAACTCCCAGTCTTACCACTAGCAAAGTTTTTTAATCGAGGGTCAGGATCGGAAGAACGTCTTTTCGGTGGTTTATCGTATCTACCTGTTAGTATACACGGCGCGGCGTGCTTTGAAATATGAACACAATTTTTAAAATTTGTACATTTAACCTCCGGCAAGCAGCGCTCAGTATAATCGGGTTCCGACCGCAAATGAGTTATTCATTTTAGATTTATGGACGTTTCACGTCGAATTTATCCGACGTCTCTTTTACATCCCCGACGCCGAGAATTGAAAGAAACATCTCTCAACTACTTTATCGCCGAGTCGAGAACGAACAGACGCTCGATGCCGATCTGACGGACGGGCTACAAAACATATTAAAATTTTTGTAGGGTTCAGTTTTTAGCAAAAGTTTATTTAAATACAATTTAAATGTAGTCTTATAGTCTAGAATCAAAATCATAATAGAATCAAAAAACCTTTTTACAATAAAGCGGTACCTACAGATCAAATACATTTTGATCTTTCAAGTGAAAGACAGGTAAATATGCACACCTGTTGGTACAGATCTGTTTTAGACTAGGAGTTAGATTTTATTATAATCGACAATGGTTAAGAAAATCTAAAGTAAATTATTGTTATCACTGTGTAAAACAAAATAAAATGATTTTGAATGTAACCACAGAAAAGTGCTCCTATTAAATGAATTCAAATTTTACAATTAACAATATTTGTTATATATTTTCAAAAGCAATGAACAATTACGATAGAAGGAACTTTTTGATTTTTTTTAGTAATCAGAAAATCGATTGAAGATTTTACAGGGTGTCACAGAGAGTTGAAAAAGTCCATTAGTAGTAACCTTTAAATGGTAAAATTAAAAATAGCTCTTTATTATACAAGACGATAAAATTGAATTTTATCTTTGAGAGCAAAAAATAT